TTTGACTTTGATGATCCTTTTGACTCCCTTGCAACTCAGAATATTCTGTGATTCTGTCATTCTGCGAAGATTACTACTGGTCTTGGTTGGGATAAACTCGATTTTCTTCATAGTATCTTGCATGGGGCTATGTTTTGGCTTTGCGATGAAAACAATATTAATAACACAGGGATGTTTCAGCTATTGCTGAGCAGAACTTTCAAGTGTCAAGACCTTTTCTGCTCTTCACACTGCCCTTCCTATGAGTAGGCTGGGGGTGCACAAGAAGTTGGGAGGAAACACAGCCAGAACAGTTGATCCAAACTAACCAAAGGGGTATTTCAGAGCATATACTCAGCAATAAAACCTTGGAGAAGAAAAAAGGAATGGGGAAGACATTTGGAGTTAGGGTATTGATCTTCCCAATGTCTCAGTTTAATGAGACACAAGTGTTTTCCTGAGAATGAGTTATGAGGAAGACCCAAACTCCTCCCTCTAAGCAATTGTAAATCTGAAATTAGAGGCTCCAATTGAGAAAAAATGTGGAAAAAGGAAAAATAACAGCCCTGTATTAAAAGATATATGTGTACTGGCAGAACAACAAAAGAACACAAATAAAACAAACAAACAATAATCCTATACCCAAAAGTAATCCCCTTCAAAACAAACAAAAAAAAGGTAAACAGTTCAGTTGATGTGCTTTGGCGCAATTCTAACCACAGTCAGCAGGGGGCGCTGTTGGATCACTGGACGTCGCCACATGGGGGGGCCCACGGGTGTGCTGGAGAAGCCTAAAATTGAGGTCTTCCCTCCCGCTCACTGGGAAAGGGGAGAAAGGAGAGAAAGAAAAATAAAAAGTTCTTCCCACCAGGAACTCACTGTCTCCAACTGGACCGTATGGCTTCCCCTCTCCCCCTCTCCTTTGATGTGCATGAGAACTGCTGCCAAAAAAACCCACCCAAAACCAGTTCTTTTTGCTCTTTGGGGCAATTCTTACCACAACCAGCAGGGATCTCTGGTGGGACGGAGGCTGCAGTTGCTCACCAATGGTCGACAGAAGCACGGCACAAACTGCTGAGGGCTTGGCTTGCGTGCTTTGAGCTGGGAGAGGGGATGGCCATGCAGGTCAGTCTGCCCTCTGTGGGAGCAAAGAGTGGAGCCATCTGCACAAAAGGCCACTGGGCACCTGTCGGCTCCACGAGTTTTCTTACTTTTAGCCTTCTGATTGTCTCCCTTATGTCACTGTAGCAGGAGTGAGCAAGTGGCTGTGTAGGGGCTAGCTGTCTACTTGGGTTAACCCACAACACATTTACATCAAAGGAAACAAATATTCAGGGTACTTTCTGTAGCAATATTTCCACTAAATTCCTATATCAAGAGAGACATCTAATTTCTGATTGCTTTCTTAAGCTTGAATCACTTTGCAGTGATTCAGTTACTCAGGAAACTTATCCAAAGCAAAGCAAACCTTGAGTAAAAGATCATGTGGTGTTTTTTATTGCTTCCATCTACCAGATTATCTCTTTTGTTTATTTATTTGCTTATTTACTTGCTAGTGGTTCAGAACCTCCAGGAAAAGTATCTAACTTGGAAAGATTGTTTGCTGTCTTATATGACTATATTCCAAAATGACAGGAATTTTCAGAAGTTGCAGGGAAAAAAATCTGAGTGGAAGAATTAGTAATTGACCAGTATAATTGTAAAAATGACCAGTAGTTAATGATTTGTCTTTGGTGTCAGGTAATTGAGTGCGGCATATGAAAGACATGGACTCAGTGGGGGAAGGAACAGAGACAACTTTATTCCAAGGGTGCAACCTTTTATAACCTTACTCAAATATGGAAGTATTCCTTATAAGGCAAAAACTGTAACCGCAGCATCTGATTAGCTGCTACCTCTCACATGGGGACATGGCAGGCTTTCCGGGGTAGCAACTCATTCCTGTAATTCCTGGACAGCTGCTCCTAGCCTCCCAGGCCAAACACCTGCTAAGTCTCCAACGTTACACAGTTGTTGCTCTCACATATTCTCACTCCTCTCTTCTGGCTTCTATTGCATTGCAAGGATTTTCCCCTCCTTAAATAAGTTATCACAGACTGATAACATATTGGTCATGATGGGTCCATCTTGTGCTCATCTGGCACTAGCTCTATCAGACATGGGGGAAGCTTCTGTCATCTTCTCACAGAAGCCCCCTGTTGTAGCCCCCACTACCAAAACCTTGACACAAAAACCGGTAGTGGTCAAAACTAAACAATCCCAGTTTCAGGAGTGAAAAACAGAATGCTTTATTGAACACACAATTCACAATAAAAGAGTCAGGGGGTGGGACATATCAATGAAGAGGACAGGTTATGCTAACTAAGGGATGGTTTAGGCTAACTAAGGGATTACACAACTTTCTGCTAAGGTGATAATCATGGCTAGTGTTCATGAAGGAAGATTTGAGAAGGACCCTACCCACACTTGCTACAAGCATGCTGATGGCTAAAAAGACCAATGCGAGATAGACAATCTGGTTGCAGAAGGCACAGCGGAAAGACTCCCTTGGTGATATCGACAAGATGCGATTCTTTCTGTGTTGTCTTTTCTCCTCGAGAGTGATCCTGCATGTGTTCTCAAAACGAAGCACCAGTGTTATAGATGATAGTGTGTCTCCAGGCTTCCCAATTGGAGACCAGAGTAGACCAATGGTGGTGATCAATATGGCCAAGGCTGAGAGACTGTTTCAAGGAGTCCTTGTATCTCCTCTTTGGGGCTCCTCTCTTGCAGCAGCCAGTGGCAAGTTCCCCATAGAGCACAATCTTAGGGAGGCAGTTGTCCTGCATCCTGGAGACGTGCCCTGCCCAATGCAGCTGTGTTCTCAGCAGCATGGCCGCAATACTCTGAGGAGATGATACTTCCCAGGTAATTAAATTGCTGGACTGATTTGAGCTCTGTTTTGCCAATGGTGATATGGGGATGATGGGAGACTTCCTGAGGTGCAGGCTGATAGAAAACTTCTGTCTTCTTCAAGCTGACTTCCAGCCCAAAAAACTCAGCAGTCTCTGCAAAACAGGATGTTAAACGCTGCTGAGCTGCTTCTATGTGGGCAGTGAGGGCGATGGCATCAGCGTAAAGCAGCTCACGGACAAGATGATTTAAGGTCTTAGTGTGGACCTTCATTCGCCTTAGGTTGAAAAGGCTTCCATTGGTACGATATCAGATGTAGATGCCGTGGTCCTTTGAAGCATCATGCTGAAAAAGATTGTGAATAGAGTTGTGCAAGAACGCCTTGCTTCACATCACTGATTATTGGAAAGCCACATTGGCTTTAGGGTAGAAGATATTCTGCAATAGAGGGTATTAATCTGTTCAAAAGAATTCTTGCAAGGATTTTCCCAGCAATGGAGAGCAGAGTAATACCTCAGTAATTTGAACAATCTGATTTATCTCCTTTCTTCTTGCACAAGGTGATGATGACTGCGTCACAAAGGTCTGATGGTGATTCTCCTCGTTCCCAACAATGTACCACAAATTCATGAAACTTAGCATGGAGTGCTTGACCTCCATGCTTCCAGACTTCAGGTAAGATTCCGTCAACCCCAGCTGCCTTGCCAATTTTCACCTGCTGTATTGCTTTAAGAGTTTCTCCCATGGTGGGGGCAGTATCCAGTTCAGTTTTCGCTGGTTGTTGTGAAATGTACTGCATTGCTGAGTCCTGAACTACACGGCTGGTACTGAAGAGAGTCTGAAAGTGTTCAGACCATCGATTCAAAATGGAAACTTTATCTGTGAGAAGCATTTGGCCATCTGCACTGAGTAGAGGGCTTTGAACCTGGTGTGTAGGATCGTAAGCTGTTTTCGGAGCCTCATAGAATCCCCTGTAGTCACTCGTATCTGCACATAATTGAATTTTTTCTGCTACATTAATCCACCACTTGTTCTGGATGTCATGAAGTTTCTGTTGTAGCTTGCTACATGCGAGTCGAAAGGCTGCTTTTGTTATATGACAAGATGTCTGAGCAAGGTGTGCTTGGTTATCTCTTGATTGTTTTCATCAAACCAGTATTTGTTTTTCTTGAAGGAGAACCCTAGGGATTCTTCAGAGGACTGCAGAATGCTATTTTTAATAAGTTACCAAAGCATTTTGGGAGAGGGATCTGTGGAATAAGCTTTGAGCCTGGATTGAAGGTTTGCCTGGAAACTGTCTCTCACTGTAGCTATTTGAAGGTTGTTAACTAGGAGTCTTCTCCTTGGAATACTGCCCCTTTTAGGTTTTAGAGTGGAGGTTAAGTTTACAATGCACAAGTCGATGATCTGTTTGACATTCTGCACTAGGCATCACGTGGGTGTGATGAACATCCTGAATATCTCTGTCACACCAAGATATAATCAATGAGGTGCCAGTGCTTGGATCTAGGATGCATCCAGGTTGTCTTCAAACTATATTTCTGCTGAAAGATAGTGTTGGTGATGGTGAGATGCTGCTCCGCACAGAATTCTAGCAGAAGGCAACCATTATCATTGCAGTTTCCAACACCATGTTTACCTAGTACTCCTTTCCAGGCTTCAGAGTTCTTTCCTACTCTGGTGTTAAAATCACCAAGGATAATGATCTTATCATCTGCAGGAAACTTTTGGGTAAGGCAGCGTAGGTCGGTGTAGAATTTATCTTTTTCTACAGGGTCAGCTTGGAGGGTTGGGGCAGATATACTAAAGCGAACAACATGTTGCTTGTTGTGTAGTGGGAGGCATAGGGAGATAATACGATTGGAATGATCAGTCGACAAGTTTTCAATTTTAGAGGCAATAGAGTTTTTGATCATGAAGTCAACTCTTGAGAGATGACTTTCAGTTCTGGGTTTACCTGACCAGTAGAGTGTATAACCAGCACCATGTTCCTTAAGGCTGCCTTCCTCATGGAGACGAACTTCACTGAGAGCAGCAATTTCCATGTTGAGTGGTGACAGTTCGTGGGCAATTAGAGCAGTGTGATGCTCAGGACTTCCACTATCCGCAGTACCAAGCATGGTTCTGATGTTCCAGCATGCGAGTGTCAATTTGGACACACCTTTGAAGGCAAGTGTATGCCTTTGACTCTTAATCTTTGTTTGACCTGTTGGTCACAGTTAACCCACCGGGTGAAGGGTGGAGATGAGCTTTGGTTAGGCCTCCTTTTCTAGACCCCTCTCCGTGTGGAGCAAGCAGTGCTCTCCTTGAAAAAGGCTGCTTGGTCATTCAGGATGCTGCTGAACAAGGCTGTCATCTCCGGGGTCAGTCTCAGGTGACCAGTGCATGCATGCAGGGTTGGGACTGCAGCTTCCAGTGCACCTTTATCACCTGCTGTTTCATCCCTCGCCTGTTGCTGCAGGGCTTTAAAAGTGTGGGTATAACCTTTGAACCTGCGCAGTGGATTTTTTAGGTGAGGCTCAGAATGCACAGAACTGGTCCCACCCTTTACTCCTGGGGTCCATCTGCCAGGGCCTAGCAAGCTTGGATGGTGACAGCGAAGTCCTCAGGATGTAGGTTTAATTAGAGTATCCTTCTCTTGGATGGATGGCCTTACAGGTTAAGCGAGCTCCATCTGCCTGGGTTTGAAATTAGAATTGTCCTTCTCCTAGGATGACTGCTGGAAGGCTAGTGAGCCCATCTTGCCCATGGACACATTTTATCTGACCCTTCAGTTTCGACCTGTCTGGCATGGGACACCCTACCCGAGGTATATACTGCCCTCAGCACAGCTCGCAACCTCAAAGGGGCTCATAAACTTCTTGCCCACTAAAATGATAAGGGCAAGCCTTTTACTCTCTGTTTTGCCCCTCCCAACCTCCTGCACTCAAATCCAGTGCTAAGGTGAAGCAAGGTGGTTAATATGTTTCCATAGTGAGGAGCTACATGGGGGAAAGGAACAAAAGGATTCCTGTACTGTCTTACAACATCATTACAAAACCTTTCCATATCTTGTTAAGGGAGACAGGACAATCAAACATAGATAATTGTTAACAGATACAGTCTTGTGAAATTTCTCGTGATGTGGTTTTAGGCTCTCAAAGCAAGGAGCTTCCCCCAACTCCCAATGTCCATGGCTTTCTGCTTAATCCTGTCAGCTCTCATTCTGCTGATAGCTGAGTTTCAGATTAGCTACTAGTGTTAACAATTTAACTGCCAGTGATTTGGTTTCTGCTAATGTGAGCATGGATGGTTTCAAGGGAACTTTGAGCTTTCCTAGATCAGAAGTGACAGCGTTCAACTTATTTACCAGCATCTCTTGGTCTCTAGTGTTCAATACACCCAATCCTATGCCAAACCATCCAGTCACATCTCTTCACACTTGTTTATGATGGGATCTGGTTGCCAACCATGCGTTCCAGCCTTTGAGGCTTTGCTGTATATAAGGCCAACAATCTTTTTGCAGATGTGTTATGTTTGCTTGGATGTTTATTTGGACCCTTTTCAGTGAGTATGTGGGATCTAATAGTAGTTTTTGCTCATTTGATTGCCTGATCACATAGGGTCCAGCAAAGGTTAAGTTGTGGACACTCTCACAACTTAAAGAGGGAGTTGTAGGGTTTGTGGTGGTCTTAGTTAATGGTGTAGTAGCAGATTTGGTGGTTGGAATACTTGATGTAGCATTTATTATAAATCTCCTTGTTACATTTCCTTTTCTGAACATCCAATTACTACAGAAACTGATTCATTTAAGGTATGCCAGCATTGGTCAGATCCACAGGTAAGCCCACTAATTATGTTTCCATATTCTTTTGGGGATTCAGGAAGTATGACTAAAGAATCTGGCACAGTAATGTCAATTCTGGGCAGCCAACTGATTTGTGAGGGTGGCTTGTATGCTGTACATCCGACTCAAGTTTGTTCTCCAATCTTCCCTACTAAAATGCAGTTCTCGAATCACCAGGATTTTGCCAACCAGTCAGGACCCTTGTTACTTGAGAGACTATAACAGATGTATTGTATCTACCTATTTGAGTTCATACAGCAGCTCCTTCTTCTAAATATTCAATTGATTGTTTAAAGTAGGTAGGTAGACCAGAGACCCCACCATAAGCCTGAGACCATAATGAATTTTGGGCAAAAATTTGATCTATCACCACTGTACTTATGAGTCCAAAGATCACTGCTGGGTAGGCTTGAGAGCAGATGGTTCTTGTTCTGAGGTCCATTCTTTCTCAGGGACTCTCTTGACTTGGGAGTAGTGGATCCACGTGGGCCTCTCTTTCACTCACATTGCTGTGAAGGTGGTCATCAGCACCTGGAAAGGTCCATTCCACTTCTCTCGTAGTGTTTCTCCTGAAAGATTCTTAACATATACCCAATCACCAGGACTGAATGGATGTAATTTACCATCAGGTTGTTTAGGCTGGTGTTCTAACACCACAGTAGCATTTTTTTGCAGTTGTTTTCCTATAGCCATAACATAATCATACACATACTGATTGCCTATTTGATCTAAGGCTTCACTATTTACAGTTTGCATCATGTAGGGTCTGCCAAACAAAACTTCAAATGGACTCAATTTTTCTCTTGATCTTGGCTTGACCATTAATCTGATTAAGGCAATAGGCAAAGCTTGATACCACTGAAAATAAACAAATTTTAGCAATTTACTGTTTGATGAGATGGTTCATTTTTTCTACTTGCCCACTTGCTTGGGGTCTATAGGGCGTGTGTAATTGCCAATCGATTCTTAGTGCTTTGCTTATTACTTGTACAATTTCTGCACAAAAATGTGAACCTCTATCTGAAGAGATACCCTAAGGCACTCCAAACCATGGTATAATTTCGTTTAACAAGACTTTAACCACTTCCCTTGATTTATTTGTTCTGCAGGGGAAAGCCTCAGGTCAACCAGAAAATGTGTCAATCAGAATCAATAAATAACGGTACCCCCCTTTTCTTGGGAGCTGAGAGAAATCAATTTGCCAATTTTCACCTGGGAAATACACTCTGTGTATTGCCCCTTGGTGAACTTTATTGTAGTGTTTGGGTTATTTTTCAGGCAAAGCTCACATTGGGATGTGACCTGCTTTATTGTGGTAAACAAATTTGGCCCTGCTACTCTAATTCGTAAGTGTTGATAGAGTGGATCCAAACCCCAATGAGTTTTGTCATGTTCTGATTTTACAAATTGTCATATTAAGTTTTCTGGTAATACTAACTGACCTGTTTGGAGTTGACCCCATCCGTTGTCTAACAGTTTACCTCCATTTTTATGTATCCATTGATAATCTGTTTCCTGATACTCTACCTGTTGATTTGTATCTAATCCTTCTGGCACTAGAGCTGCTACTGATAGTTCTTGACTTCTTGCAGCTGCTAATTTAGCTTCTGCATCAGCTTTCCTGTTTCCTACTTCTGGGACAGTGTTGTCTTTCAGATGTCCTTTACAATACATTATAGCCACCTGTGTTGGGAGTTGGACAGCTACTAGCAATTGTAGGATCTCCTTTGCATGTTTTACAGCTTTTCCTTGGGCAGTCAATAGGCTTTGTTCTTTCCAAATTGCTCCGTGGACATGGACAACAGTGAAGGCATATTTAGTCAGTCCAGATGTTTATCTGCTTTTCCTTTGCCAGTTCAAGAGCTCGGGTGAGAGCTATCAGTTCTGTTTTCTGGGCTGAAGTCCCTGCAGGCAAAGGATTTGATTGTAGTGGTTACCGCATAGCCAGTCATCCTTACACCTTGCTTTACAAAGCTGCTGCCATCCGAAAAACAATTGTCTGCATCCTTGAATGGTTCTTCTTTGAGGTCTGGGCAGCTGGAGTACACTGCCTCAATGGTCTCTAATCAGTCATGCACGACAGGTTAAGCTGAAATTCTTTCTTCTAGGAATGAAACTGAGTTGACAATGTTAGTCACCTGAATGGATCGCCTGGTATTTCAGGAACAGGTAAGGTGACAACCAATGGTTACCTTTTTGTGCTAGGGAGCCCCTGGTGGTCTAGGGGAAAAGACACTGCACTGTCACTGCAGAGACCCGGGTTCGATTCCCGGTCGGGGCCCCTCCCTGGGCAGATGGAGCTCGTTAGCCCATAAGGCAATCCATCTACGTCCTGAGGACCTCACTGCCACCGTCCAAGCATGCTTGGCCCCGGCAGATGAACTTCAGGATTAAAGGGTGGGCTCAGTTCCGCGCACACTGTGTCTCACCTAAAAAATCCAATGCGCAGGCTGGAAGGTGTAAAGACCTTCCCCGGTTCTTCGTTCGCGAAGACTGGCCATTACATTACATTACCTTTTTGTTCCAGTACTGCTGATACAGTGTGGGACACCAACACAGTCATTTTTTGTCCCATTGTAAATTTTCTGGCTTCTGTATTCATGACCACTGCAACCACTGCTCTCGGGCAGGTGGGCCATCCCTTGCTTACTTCATCCAATTGTTTGGAGAAGTAACCACGACCGTCTTGCATGGCCCTAATTTCTGGGCCAGGACCCCTAAAACCATTCTTTGACGTTCATGTGAGAACAACCAAAAGGACTTCGTCACATCAGGCAAAGCCTCACGAGCTCTCGTTTCAGTTGTTTGAAGGCTTTATCTGTCTCAGGGGCACAAATTATGTTATTTTAGTTATCTTCAACAAGTCATATAGAGGTTTAGCAAGGAGTCCATACTGATATACCCATAAATGACACCAACCTGTCATCCCTCGAAAGATTCGAAGGTCTCTCACTGTTTCTGGTCTGGGTGTCTGGCAGATGGCTTCTTTTCTCACTGTCCCCAGGGATCGCTGTCCTCCTGGCACTTCATATCCCAGGTACATGACTTTCTGCTGGACCAGTTGAGCTTTCTGTTGAGAGACTCGGTAACCACTTAAACCTAAGAAATTTAGGAGAGATATTGTCCACTGTATACAATTTTCTTTTGTTTTGGTTGCTATTAGGAGATCATCCACATATAGTAGAAGAACGCCATCTCCCGGTGGCTGCTGCCATTGCTCCAGCTCCTTGGCTAATTGATTACTGAACAAAGTGGGACTATTTTTGAATCCCTGAGGTAAAACAGTCCATGTAATTTGCATTTTTCTTCCACCACTAACAGACTTCCACTCAAAAGCAAATAACTTTTGGCTTTCCTGAGATTGGGGTAGACAGAAAAAGGAGTCTTTTAAATCTAACACTGTGAACCAAATCAGATTATCCCTCAATTTTGTTAAAAGTGTATAAGGATTTGCTACCACAGGATGTAAAGTTTTAGCTATTTTATTTACTGCCCTTAAATCTTGAACTAGCCTATAAGTTCCATTTGGCTTCTTGACTGGGAGAATTGGGGTGTTAAAATCAGATTCACACTCTATCAAGAGTCCTAATTTCAAAAAGTTTTCAATTATTGGTTCAATTCCTTTTCTATCTTCCAATCTCAGTGGGTATTGTTTCTTAGTCACTGGCCTAGCTCCTGGTTGTAATTCTATCCGAATAGGAGTTGCCCATTTTGATTTACCTGGTGTGTCAGCTGCCCATACCAGGGAGTACACCTGATTTATAATTTGGTCAATATCTTGATTATTTTCTTTTGCTTCTATACAGCTCACAGTCAAATTCAGAGCTGCTAACAATTGTTCTTCATTTACTTTGAATTCCGTTTTACCCTTATTAAATTTTATTATAGCTCCCAGATTTTCCAACAGGTCTCTGGTCAATAGGGGTTTGGGTGAATTTGGCAGATACAAAAATACTCCCATCTGTTTTCCAATTTTGAATTTTAGAGGTGTCGTGGGTTTGCTGACCAGATCTCCCCTTGGGGCTAAAAATAGTTTTTTCCAAGTGTATTTCTGGAGCAAAGCCAATCAAAAGTTTTAGTAACACCTCTGACAATTACATATTTAAGAAAATGGAGGAGATGGTTGTTGCACAGAAGAAAATGGGAGAGCCAGCGTAGCAGCCCGCCCTGTTGGGCCTGGGTGTGCACTCCCCACCCCGGGCCAAGTCTGGCCTGGGCAAGGGGGGCCAGGCCCCCTTCTCTCCTGTAAAAGAGTAGAGGAAAACCTCTAATGAAAGACTGCCTGGACAAGATGGCTGCAGAAGGAATTCCAGGAAGAGAGATAATGGACTTCCAAGGTCAAAGCTGGCAGCCGCAGGAGAGAGAAGAGAAGCCTGAAGGGACTCCTTCTCTTCCCCCTCTCTGTCCTTTCAGCAGGGAAAAGACTGAAAACTAAAAAAAACCCTGCCATCTGTAGAAGATTGCTGGGGAGAGGAGACCCTCTGCAGCTCATGAAGGAGCCCACGCCAAAGCAGAGGAGTGCACGAAGAAGACGTGACTCCGTGGGAGGTCTAAAATTAAACAGAGTCTTGCTGGAGACCTGTGGCCCATGGAGAGAGAGACCTACGCTGGAGCAAGTTGGCTCAGGTAGGATCTTGTGACTCAGTGAGGGATCCATGCTGGTGCAACTAAATTTGTGACCCTAAGGGACAGCAGAGAATGGAAGAACTGTTGCCCGAAGGTGGACTCACACTAGAGAGGTCTATCAAGGACTGTCTCTTGTGAGAAGGGACCCCACAAGAAATAGGGGTGGACTCATAAGCCATTATTCCCTGTAACTATGGGAAGTCCATAGTAAGGCAAGTGTCCCCTTGCAGTTCATGGAAGACCCCACAGGGCCTGGGAAACCCCCCAGCCTCTGGTCTTAGCCCAGGAGGGGGTAGGTCCAGCCCTGAGGTCGACATAGAAAAGAGAGAGAAAGAGAAACAGTTCCAGCAGTGACAAATCGGAGTTGTTGTCCTAGAGATAATAGAAGAGAAACTTTCAAGTGCTGTAAAATTATTTAGAAGACCTGTAGCTCTGGAAATGGAAAAGGGACTGCTTCTCCTCCTGAACTGATACAAAACTGATACAAGGGGGGAGGGGTACTTCTGTAAATACATAACACTTTTGCCTAGTTAGAATTGTTATATATATAGTTCTTTAGTTTTTATCTTGCTAGTAATAAATCCTAATATTATTCTCCCCAATCAGGTCTCTTTTGTCCGCATAAACCTTCTCTCAACTTATAGCAATTGTGTGGGGGGTGAAGAAAATTTGTCCTAAAGTAAACCCACAACATTTTTGGTGGAGAATGCGGGCAAAGACTGCCCGGAGAGGCAAAGGCCGGATCAGATCAGGACAAGGGGTTTCAAAAAGAAAGCTTTTTCTGATTGACCAGGGGTTCCCACAACTTGAACATATTTATCACTTATAGGTCTCAGTTCTTGATTCAAAACAGAAAATGCAACTCCAGTGTCGATTAAAAAGTCCAATTTTTCCTTTTCTTCCCCAGCTCAATTTTAACCAGCAGGTCTGCTAGGGATAAACCAGCTGGCCTCCTTCATTCAGCATCTTGGTGAGCTATGACAGCCCCTCCTGTGTGACCAAGAGGGCACGGAGTAACTGCAGGCAGACCAATATGATCGATAGGCAGTTCTCGTTTATTATGTGTTACAGCGTTTGTTTTATACTTTCACACACATACATGTCACTACATTATTGGTTAACTATAAGTACATGTCACTGCATAATTGGTTTGTAATAGTTAAACACACTTCTTGCTACTTAGTACATGTTGCTATATGATTGGTTCGTATGCGCTGTCCATGCGCTGTCCGTGCGCATGAAATCATTGTCTTTCTCTGAGAGCTCCTTCTTATTATCTCAATAGTTTCCATTCTTGCAGCCCGATATCAATGCCAGTACTTTTCCTGCAACCTGCAAGCAGGCCTCTTGCTAAGGCAGGCTAAGGCCTATTAGTATGGTTTGTTCATAGTGCCTGTTTTAGCCAAGCACCCCACACTCCTGAGTTTCTATAATTTGCCAGTTTAGGGCAATCCCATTTCCAGCGTCCCTCCTGCATGCAATAGGCACATTGATTTTGTCCCACTCTTGCTTGTTGAAAAGGTGCCTGCCCTCTGCCACGACCCCTAATATTTGTATTCTGAGTTAAAGCAGCAACCACAACCTTTGTAAGTTTTCTATCTTGCCTTTTTTTTCTGTTTTTGTACACTTTCCAGGTTTCATTCATTAACACCTCTAAATCTTTATTAGAAGGATGATTGATTTTCTGTAACCCTTTTCTAATATCAGGGTTACTTTGTCCCATTAGCAACCCCACTAGTTGTTGTTTACCTCTCTCTGATGATGGATCCAGGGTAGTGTATTTTCTCATGACAGTTCTAAGTCTGTCTAAGAATGCCGTGGGGGTCTCGTCCCATCCTTGCCGTACATCGTACAAGGCTGCCCAATTGACTGCTTTAGGTATAGCATTTCACAATCCCACCAGGACCAATCTTCTATACTGTTCCAATAACTTGTCTGGTCTGGGTCATTTGGGTCTGTCCCAGTTTAAATGAGACAAGGGTCTTTTGCTGAGGATGGGTTAGGAGAAAAGACCCAAACTTCTCTTTCTAAGCAATTATAAATCCAAAATTAAGAGGTTCCAATTAAAGGAAAACAAAATATGAAAAAGGGAAAAATAACAGCCCTTTATTAAAAGGTATGTGTGTATTAACAGAAACACAAAAAAAACCCCGAGTAAAACAACCAAACAACACTCCTATACCCACAAATAACCCCTTCAAAAACAAACCGATAAACTGGCAAAAGGAAGAGTAAATAGTTCAATTTTTGCACCCTTTGGTGCAATTCCAACCACAATCAGCAGGGGGCGCCGTTGGGTTACTGGAGATGCAAAACTTGTAATGTCCCATACCATTCACCAGGTGGCGCTGTTGGGTCACTGGAGGTGCAAAACTTTTAGTGTCCTATAGTAGCCACCAGGTGGCGCTGTTGGATCACTGGAGGTGCAGAACTTGTAATGTCCAGTGCCCGTCACCAGGTGGCATTGTGGGATCCCTGGTCACTGCCACGTGGGATGGGGCAAAACAACACCCCCCAGGTATGTCGGAGGGAAAGGAAAAAACAAACCAAAACCAAAAAGAACCAACTCAGTTCCCCTTCCCTTCCCACACTGGGAAAGGAGAGAGGGAATGGAGGGGGGAAGGGGGAAGGAAAAAACCAGCAATAAAACAGAAAGTTCTCCCAATGGAAGAAAACTCACAAACTTCAGCTGGTTAGGATTCGCCCCAAGCAGGGCCTGCAACCAGCAACAGCTAAGCAGAGAGCAGCAGCAAACTCCCCTCCGACAGGAAAAAAAACAAAACAGGCAGCGTCTGCAGCTTGCAGCAGGTCCCAAGCCCACCGGCACACCAGCCTTTCTCTCAACCTGCATGCCAGCCACCCCCCCCCCCCCCCCCCCCCCCCCCCCCCCCCCCCCCCCCCCCCCCCCCCCCCCCCCCCAGCCCACTTCGTTGCCCAGGAGACGAGAGAAAAAAGTAAAGTGCAAGTCCTTATCTACCTTGTCTCCTAGGAGACTAATGTCCGGCCATCGGCCATGGAGCTAGGTCTTTTGTACTCTGAAGTGCTTATCTTGATAGTCAGAGGAGGAAGGGAGAAAATTCTTAACCTGGTTTCGAGAGCTAGCTAAAACCACGACAGGGTCTCAGTTGGGTTTTCGCACTGGAAAAATATTATCTATGTCTCCCCTTAAAACATTTTTTTGCAATCTGCCCTTCCACATGATTCCTTGCTTTTTATTACAAGCTCTTTTTCTGTTTGTCAATTCTGAAAGAATCAAGTCAATATCAGACCAATCAATGTCCCGATTTTTCACAATTAATTCAAGTCTCTTAGCCACCTTTTCAGGATTTCCCCTAAACAGTTTTGCTTCCTGCCTCCAGTTATTCAAATCACTTACCAAAAACGGTACTTTCACTTTTGCCTGGGTGCCTGCAGCTGTTATTACCATCCTTAAAGGAGCAACTGTGTTGCTAGTCTTCGCTCTAGCTTTTGTTCTACCCCCTGTCTTGCCCTTAGCTTTCGGTCCTGCAGTCTGACCATGATATATGATACTCATTCCCTCTTTGGGGTCTTCCACGCTGTCTGCTATGCTTTCAGAATCTGTCGCATCTGATCCTGATTCCTGCAGGCTACCAGGTCCCTGTCTAGCCAGCTCTGGACCCCTGGTTGCGATTCCTGGGGGTCTAAAATGCTCTTTTCGTCACTATCTCTTTTTCCCAGCTTAAGACACCTCTGACCTATGTTGCATGCATCACAACAATGTTTTCTGACTCTTCTCCAATGCCAAGACAAGAGGGTCTTGGGGAGTTGTATTAATACCTCAACTTCTCTGCCACTCAGGTTTATTCCTTAAAGTAAAAAACGTCTGCATACATAACCACATCCCACTTCTGTTCCCTGAGAAGGAATAACGTAAGCTACAAGATGCCGTAATTAAGACTTCTTTGCAGTGACCATTTTTCACCGTCATCTAATTTATACAACAGCCACCAATTTTGGCATTATTTTAAGAAGGTTCTTTTGCCTTAATTCCCTCCTGGAATTACTCCTAGATCTCTCCAATGTTTTAATATGCACCCCACAGGAGTTTTAGCGTTTATTTCTTTACTCATTTTAACTCCCATGATTAAATCCATGATACACTAATGATCTCAAATTCAAACACACCCTCTTGATCGAAAACCTCCTAAAATTCACAGCAACTCACAACTAACCTGCACAATTGCACAAATCCACAAGATGTTGCCCTAAGACCACAAATCAACACACAGTTTCACAGAACTGTCGGCAAAATGCACACTCTATAACAAGCCTGTGTGTATTAGAAAATATACGTGTCTGTGCATGCTACAACAATAAAATCTAGCCCACTGAGTTTTTTTCCAAGCTCTGATTAGCTCCACATCTAATACAATAAAAATTCAAAGACCAGTCTAAGCGTATTTCCTACATGCTCTGGGGTTCAAGAATATATTTCCCACAATTATTACATAAAACACAAACATACAATGAACAATTACAATACGGACAAATTCTAATTCTGGGTTGTAGGCTGTGTGATGTCTTCACAGTCAATTTCTCAGATCCCCCTCCCATAAAAACTCCTTAGCAAGATGTTCCTATGACTGGTTCAGAAGGAACAATACCTCCAGAAGTTCAATTTGGTTTCCAACACAAAACAAGCCAACACAACAACAATAGAAACATACAACAGACAAAATACTACCACAGTTGTGACACTCCAGGAGTTCATAGTACACAAGTGGGCCCCAGAATCTCCAGTTCATAAGGTGATTGAGAACTTTAGGGGAATCAATACCATAAGCAAAGAACAGAAGCCACCCCTATAGCCTCCCCCCATTATCAAAACTTGGCCCCCCCATTACACGGGGGGAGTGGGGGGGGGGGGTAGGGTGGGTGGTGTTATGGTCAGTTCATCACAGGTTGTTTCTGCTGCTGCTCAGGGGAAAGAGTTCTTCCCCTGCTCCAGCATGGTGTGCCTCCCATGGGAGACAGTTCTCCACAAACTTCTCCAACCTGAGTCCTTCCCACAGGCAACAGTTCTTCACGAACTGCTCCAACATAGGTCCCTTTCCATGGGGTGAAGTCCTTCAGGCACAGCCTGCTCCAGCATGGGTCCCCCACAGGGTCACAAGTCCTACCAGGAAACCTGCTCCAGCATGGGCTCCTCTCTCCACAGGTCTCCAGGTCCCTACCAGGAGCCTGCTGCAGCTCAGGCTTCCCATGAATTCACAGCCTCCTTTGGGCATCCACCTGCTTTGGTGTGGGTCTCCTCCATGGGCTGCAGGTGGATCTCTGCATCCCCAGTGACCTCCATGGGCTACAGGGGAACCTCAGCTCTGGCACCTGGAGCATCTCCTCCCCCTCCTTCTCCACTGACCTTGGCGTCTGCAGAGTTGTTCCTCTCACATATTCTCACTCCTCTTTGGTCACAATTACATATGCACAATAATTCTTTTTTTCTTTCTTTAATATGTTACCCTAGAGGCATTACTCTAATTCCTGATTGGCTTGGCCTTGGCCAGCAGCAGGTCTGTCCTGGAGCCAGCTGGCATTGGCTCTGCCAGACATGGAGGAAGCTTCTATCAGTTTCTCGCAGAAACCACCCCTGTAGCCCCTCCCCCACTACCAAAACCTGGCCACACAAACCCAATACAGTATTATTATTATATTTTATTTTGCTTCAGTCATTAAACTGTTCTTATCTCAACCCATGAGGTTTACTTATTTTTTTTCTGGTTCTCCTCCCCACCAGGGACAAGGGGACTGAGCAAACTTCTGCATGGTACTTAGTTAACAGCTGAGGTTAAACCACAACAGAACTAATCAAATCTTTTCTCTTGAAAAGTTCTTTAATGCAAACCATTTATATCCAAAGGTATTTCAAAGAAATATGTAAATTGTGAACAAGCAATCACTTTTCCCAGGAGAAAGTAAATAACAAAATTGCCACTTTGATTTGAGATTTCAAAATAAATTGTCTTTTGTTTTTTTGTTTTACTTAAAGAGTTGTGTAACAACATGCAATTTGACAGAAAACACCTCAAATTTTCCCTAAGTATGACAAAGTTTTTTACATGATGTTTGCTCCTATAGATTCGTTCTGCAAATGTATATTGTGATGGGAGGATTAATAGTTTAAACAACAATCCATGCACAGATCTTCTGATGCACTTTGAGCTACAGAGAAAATATTCACTACAGAATGGTTCCCTTTATACTTCAGCTTTTGAATGCATCCAGTAGTTACTTCAGTGACACTTCTCTCCCTGTCTCTCTCCCTCTCTCCTCTCTCCCCCAGAAATGTCCAACTCTAAAAATGCTTCCTGACATCTTTAGATCTTAGAATCATATAATAGTCAAGATTGGAAGGGACATCAAAAGATCATCTGGTCCAACCTTCCATGTAAAAAGGGAGCCTATGAGATATTATCTATACCCTGTCTAATTGCATCTTGAAGAACAAATCTGTTTCCAATTCATCTTTTTTACATACCATTTTCAACCTCTGTATCCTATCATCAATACACTGGGCCAAATTATTCTTTGATTCAACTAATCTATCCACTGCCTCTAGAGATGGATTTGGCTTGTCTGTTCAGAGGATTAATTCTTGTCTAAGATAGTTAACATTTCATTTAATGCTATTGCCTCTTAACTGTCATATTCTATAAGATAGCTATCTCTCCCCTCTAATTTCCATTTACTCCCAGGACCACCACTACAGCATTTATCAAAAGTTATCTCTTTCATAGTGCACTTCTTTAATTTGAAATTCCAATCTCTTGGGTTTCCTGTGGTTATATTGGCCACAGAAGTTCAGAATAAAAGCAATGGCTCTCTGGTCAGTTTAGAATGCCAAAAAAAGTATCAAACATATGAAACCACAGAACTAAAAAAAATGTTCCCTATTATGTTTGATAGAAAAACAAGTAATGATAAATACAACTCATGAGATGTGGCCTTCTGAAAATAAACTTTGTGTAACAGCCAACTAGACTTAAGCTGTAAAATTAATCTAAGCTGGGATGTCTGATGGTGATGATGCAGTCGGAGTATTCCCTAGTCCTGCTTGCTGATATTCTGTTGGAGGATGCAACAAGGCTGTGGAGCCTAGCAGCAAGGAAAGAATGTAAATAAGAAGTGAATATCCAATCATATGTGAAGATTGATAATAATATATAGATAACAGAGCTAAGAATAGTTTTGGTATGTAAGATTCTGCAGACACAGTGTGTGAGTGCAACTGTGTGAGAACAAGATGTAATATACTGGACGAAGTAATAAAAAGCTGAATGTAGGCCATCATCAGAAAAGTGTCTAGTTTATATTCTTGACCGTCCTCAACATACAACAACAATATTCCATCCTTGTTTTTTCACCTGTACTGCATCTTCCACTTTCCACTTTCTTGCAGTTCCTTCCTTTCATGGCTTCTCTACCTTACTTATTGTGAGAAATATCTCAAATAAAAATTTCGAAGACGGCCAAATAAAGTGAAACAAAGAACTTTTATTTTCAGCGCGCGCTGGGTGCGGTCAGGTTTGCCTCGTGCCAGGGCCTGAGAACACACCGAGATGGGGGGGGCAGTTCTTTTAAGGTCTCTCAATTTGCATAACTGTTCCCTTGTCCCTCCC